AGTAAGTAAATCTGAGGAAGTAAATTTCGTTGTTCCGCAGTGAAGTACAGCAATCATTGTTTGATTGCGTAGCATAAAGCGTTGCGAATCGCCTAACGATGAAAAGCATACAAACAACCAAACTCTCTCGAAACAAAGCACATTATTTATAAATACTCTATTGGAAATTACTTTGAGCTCTTGCTCTTGCATATAACACTATGCAGATAAAACACAAGGAAAGCGTAAGTATCCATCTAAACTCGAAATTACCAAATAAAAACCATATACTTGTTCAGAAGATTTTATATTTTTAATAATTGGATTTGCTATCCTCCTCTTGAATTTTGATATAATAATATTAATTTAATATTTTTATTAAAACTCAAGAAGATATTAGCAAACCTCCAAGAGGAGGATAGTATACCATTCTAACAATAGAGCAGCTGTAAATACCACATCAACTGGTGAAATACATTTTTCATAATGGAATAATGATTATGATTTTCGTAGTAAGATGTTTCATAATTTCGCTTATAATTAAGTTCAAATTTAAAGTGAAGACTTACATAAACCACGACTAATCGTTCCCTTTAAATTTTAAACATTAGTACAAAGTAAGTTTTAAACAGAGATATACGAGCAGAAACTATACATTTTCTTTAAAATGTATGCAATATAATTAATATGTAATGGCAAAATTCATAATAAAATTTTATTAGTAATTAAATAACCTACAAATTGAGCTTGAGGATGCAATAGAAAAACATGAAAAATGATAAGAAATTGACAAAAATTAACAAGTTTTAATATTCTCTATATTAGCTTAATTTTTCCGAATTGATGAACAAATGTCTATTTATAATAGATCTATAGTTCATATTAAATAGATAATATTTTCGCATTAATTCCGATTCCGAAATGGGCTAAACAAATTTGTGCGTATTTGAAATAAATTATCATGATTAACTACATTAATTGACTGTATTTTTAATGTACGAACCATAGTGGTTCCTAAAGTGAAAAAAATATTATTATTTAAGCAATTCTGATTCCATCCAAAATGATATTTTAACAATATTATGTAGTTTTTCTCCACATATATTAATAATTATTATTGATTAGTGAATGATTTGTTTATTAATAATAACCTAATATATATTTTATGTATATAAATTTTAAATATGAATTATTCCTTCCCCTAAAGGGTCGTTCTATTTTTTGATAAACTTAACTTATAAAGTAGTATGAACTATTTAGATATGAGCAATTTAGATTTATTTCGATAAAATTTAAAAGTAATTTTCAACTTTCTTCTTCTAACTTTAAATGATTGATTGATAGATTATTTTTTCATTAATGATATCCCACTCAAAAACAATAAATATTCTAATAAAAATATATTCAATAATTCAATACCATTATGTTATTTTTTAAATAGCCCGAATAAATATCTCGTGTATATAAATTTGAATACATTATAATGCTTATATAAATAATTATAAATATAACAATAAATTAAAATCAGTTCATTAAAATGAGTACAATCCCCACAGTTATTAATAAATTAATAAGTTAAAGTGTCATTCACAAAATATTAAAAAAACTGAATCCGGCACATACTATTATTGGGGATGATTATTTTAATAGTAAATAATCGTATACTAGTGTGGGTATAAAAATTTTCATGTATATTGAGCATTAATTAAAAATTTGTGATTTTGGGGACTAAATTAATACGAAGTGACATGAATACAATTTTTTGGATCTAATTATTATGATTATTAATTGTGATTTACTGTATATTAGTTTTAACACTTTGGCTCGTATATGAGAATGATGTGAGACTATATAGATGGAAAGGAAAAGAAACACTTTCCATTTTCAGTTCTACAAACGGCAGTATAAAAACGAGGGAAGATACTCGCTAATCATACAGTTCAGTTTGTGTGATCGTATCAATAGTTTAAACAAAAAATAAAACATGTTTAAGGTAGAAACTTAGTAATAAATACTTTAATTTTAGTTAAATTTTAGATTATTTCATATGTTTTAATTGGATTCTAAAAGTGTTTAAAAACCGATAAAATCTGGCCTTATGGATAATCTAAATCGCATTAATATTTAAATCTAAATTTTAAAAATAAGTCTTATTTTATTATAAATTTCTAGTTAATTACACAAACGAAAGAAAAGTTAAATTTTAAGATACTTAGTAATTTGATAAAAAAATAAAAAACAAAAAAATATACTAAAAAATGGATTGGCGATAAATAATCATCGTAAATCAATATAATGATTTTTGATTCCTTATAAAAAAACTTAATAGCAATCAAAATCATGTAATTGTATAAGCTATCATAATAACTTATAAAATTATATTATTTTGATTGCTGTTTATAATATCAATAAGAGAAATAAAAATATAATTGCAAAAATTTAAAAACATTAAAAATGAGCTTATAAATTTTCTTAAAAAATTGTGATATTAAATTTCGGTTAATATACTATAGAAGTAAATATCATAGTTCATGAAAACTACGATATAATGACAAAATAATATTTTTAGAAAATAAAAATTTAAAATTAAATATATAGAATTTAATATTTCCTTTCATAATATCCAAACTTTAAAAATATTAATCCGTTTTCGGCTATTCTAATTAAACTTTGTATTTACATCATATATTAAATTTATTGCAACATCATATAATACGTTTCGCAACTGAAAGTAATACTATATTTTATGAACACATTAAATGTTTTATCGTCGTACAACAAAGATTTTGCATTCTATGCATCAGCATGAGAAAATTAATGTTGCAAGCTGTTGGATAATTTATAAATACTAATAATATAAATTCCTAACAGTCAATTAATGAAAATAGAAATTTTACAAATTGCATTACAACATATTCGTCTCTAATTTAAAGTTATCATCAACGTGTCGCAATAAATTGAATTGATACTTTTGAATTAAAAGATATATTACGCTGATTAATTTAAGGGACACAACTAGTGTGAAATTTCGAAAAAATCGATTTTTGTTTTTTTTCATATTTCGGTAGATTACACCTTTAAAAATAATATATAAAAATTTCAAATCAATATCTCAAATAGTTTTTGAGTTACAGCCATTTAAAAAGTATATATATAGTTATATATTATAGTACAACGATTATTTTATCTTTAAACGCGTTTTTCTCGAAACAGCATTTTCCGAATTTGCTGCAGTGATTACTCAAAAACGAATGATCCGATCACTATCAATTTTTTTTTACATGTTCTTTATACAGTTCTCCGTAAAATAAACTATCGATTTTTCGATCGGGACAAAAATCGATTTTTGGCAGTCGAAAAACGACCAAAATTTTGGCTAAAATTCGACTTTTTTTAAAAAAACGCCGCCATTTTGTCAATTTTTGATTTATTTTTTTCATCGTAGTTCATTTTACAGACAATATTATCTAGTTTAACGAGATTTTTTTTTTATTTCATCCACGTAGAAGGCCGGAATCACTGCAGCAGTTAAGGCCCTTTTTTTGTCGCGCCGTTGGAGACCGACGATAACTTGAAAAATATTTAATTTTTTTCTTCAAAAATTTTACTATGTATTCTTAAAACATGTATAAATATATTTCTAAAATTTTGAAATGATTGATAAAGTAGTTTTTTTAATATAAATTCCCAAAAATCAGCTTTTTTATAGGGGGTTACACTAGTTGTGCCCCTTAAAGATTTATATAACATTGATTTTCAGATAATTTCCGTGCTATCGGTGGTTCTAGCATTAACCAGAGCGGGCTACATTGGAGGTGGTTTTGATTCGCATGATGTAGGCGGATATGATTTTGGAGGCGGCCATGACTTTGAAGGCGGACACCAAATTGTGGCGACGCACGATTTCGAAGGAGGTCACGAAATGGGAGGCGGCGAATCTTATGGACATGGACACGAAGATTATCATGTGAATATAATATTATGTTGCTTCCACGATTTGAAATGATAAAATGATCTAAACTCAGATATAAATGCTACCAATTATTTTCAGGAGCCACCAAAGTATAAATACGGTTACTCTGTTCATGATCCTCATACAGGCGATGAAAAAAACGCTTGGGAATCGAGAGATGGTGACGTCGTAAAAGGTACGTAATTTCTGGTGTAAATATGAATTAAAATAAATTTAAAATACACTATTATTTCAGGACAATATTCATTGACGGAAGCTGATGGAACGCAAAGAATAGTAGACTACACCGCTGATAAGCACAATGGTTTCAATGCAGTAGTAACAAAAGTTGGAGAACCAAAACAACAACTAGAGCATGGTTCCAGTATAGGAGGAGGTCACCATTGGGGATTCTAAATAAACAACTGTTTCGCCGGCATGGAAAAACACATAAAACATGAAACTCTTATCATAATAGTATTCTTAGTATTTGCTTTATAGCGCGCTATATAATAAAATCGTCTTCATCGCAAAAATCATTACGCCAAAGTTCATACATATTACAGCATATATTTATAAAATTGTTTGTTACTTATTAGTAAAATATAATTATTGAATGCCTGGATTATTGATCAAATGACTGAAGATACCGCTCATATATGCGGATGTAGATTTAAAAATTGTTATTTATATGTATTATATATTTTGTGATGCATCAAACTATCAATAGCAAACATTAGAAATATATTTATTAAGGTATATTATATGCAATAAAGTACTTTTAAAAATATGTGTATATTTTTTATAATAAATCATTTGAAATAACTCTACTCAACTTCACATTTCAGTATGTGAAGATTTCTATAAATGCTTTAAAAATGATAAAAAATTAAATATATATTTTGGTTAAAAAAACTAATAGATATCCAAATATTTATGATCCTAAGATAATCACTTATAACCATAAATAAAATAAAAAAAATAGGAATGCGATGAGTATCAACATACAATGTATAATAAAATTATTAATCCATCTTTCACTTACCCCCCTGTTTTCATTATTATCAACTGCATCTGCAGTCACCTCTCTTTGGACCATCATCAAGCGACCACTAACATTTAGCACCATAGTTTCTACTGGTTTTGTGACTTGTCCTTCGGGCAATATTTGTTGAGTTTCGAGTGCGTCATATGCATAATCTATTTGAGTATCTGTAACAAGAATTATCAATTACAAAATTATTTTTAAACATATTATGATACAAAATCATATAATAAAAAATTGTTCAATTAAAATATTTGTAATTACTTAATAAAAAAAGAGACAAAATAAAAAAATAGTGCAAATATGAAATAGTTGGTAAATAATTTACCTAACATATAAAATATCTAACATATTAAATAAAATTATATCTTTTAAAAAATATTTCAATATACAACCAATAACATTTGTAATAATAATAAACCAAATAAAAGTTTTAAATGATTACAAAATATACTAAATATTTTTATAGAACTAACTTTGTTCAGAATTTTGTCGTTTATCACGAAATGGCGTTACATTGTAACTGTCATGGTAATGCATTCTACTGAAGCTCTCTGCTCGTAGTCTGGTTAGTGCTACTGATATAACACAAGCTGGGTGTACACACAAAGCAGTTATATCCACTTCTTGAATTCTTGAAGTATTTACAAAACCACCTTGAATATAAATAAACATACCAATACAAATATATATTATTTTAAGAAATATATTTGCACTCATAAAATTACCTGCTTCATTACGAGACATTTTATAAATATCTATAACCCCATCACCACAAAAAATAACTAGACTATCGCTTATGGAGTTTATAACCATAACTTGTGACTGCATTGACAAAATTGTCGCAAATTTATTATCTAATTTACAATCTAATGGATAAAATCGAACTTCATGTTTGTTTTGCAATATACTGTAGCAACCTAGAAATAAGTTTTGAATGAAATTAAAAATGTGATCAAATATAAAAAAATTCAAAATCTTGTTAAACTATTTACCCATAACTGCATATTCACGCCACCACAGAAGTCCACCAGTAACTACAAAATCTTTTTCTTGTGTTTCATTGCCAAATAATTTCCATTTTCTTGTGACCACATTATAAACAGCAAATCCATATCGACCAGCTACAGCTATATGTAGACCATCATTATCTACAGCGGCATACTATAAAAACGTTGTTTAAGTCAAGATATCAAAATATATTATTTTGTATAACTAAAGTTTTCATACTCTAATAGGCCAATTTGTAGCAGAATATTGAGATGGTATTGTGATGATCATCCATTGTTTACTTTCAGAAGGCATTACTCCAATCGAGGTCATGCCAGTTGGCATACTGTTCATATCGAAAGACATTGTGTCATATTTTTTCATAGCATGGCCTGTTTTAAGGTTTTCACACAAATTGATATAAATTTTATCATCACCTTGTAGATATAAATGTGCATGCTGACTCTGCAAAACATAAAAATTAAAAATTTCTGCATGTTTTATATAAAGCAAATGAAAATTTATCTTAGATTTATTACTTACCATATAAGGATTGACTGTTAAAAGACTTTTTACAAAATCTAATTGTAATAGGCTGGTTGAACCATTCTTTTTTGTAGAAGTTGGACTGACTGGTTGTAATTCAGCAGCTTTATCTTGCCAGCGCACCATATAAAGTTGATAGCCCTCCATTGACCAATCCTATATTAAATTTGATTCAATTGTGTATTTACTAGTTAGCTAATAATGTAAATCATGACATGATTTAATAATTGAACACTCAATATTCCCATTAGTTTAAAGAAAATTAGTTCAATTATTAATTAATTATTATAAGTCAAATATTGTAAGAAACTAAAAACCTTAAATTAATATAAGAACATTATATTTAGATTTTCAATTTCAATTATTTCAGTTGCCTTAATTAGGGATGTAGTTTTATCTTTTCATATACTAACCATGCTAATTATATTAACAGTATTTTCAATTAATCCATAATCCCATGCCAATGTACACATTAGCAGCGCCCCAAATGTACTCCAAACTGAAAGACCGCCTGATTGCCAAGTTAAAGCAGTGGCACAACCATCAGGAGTCACAGTCATAGCCCGGACAGCCCCCAAACCATAACCCCAATCTTTAGCACCAAGACGCATATGATGAGATAGTTCAAGCTGTCCAGAATGTTCATCAATAGTAAAAACTGTTGCTGTTGAACTGATATAAAAGAAATAAATTGATATGTTTTGTAATTTTAATAAACAAATAATTTGTGATGCCTATATATCTAATAGTTATTCTATTACTTACTTTTTTCGACCAAAAGCTATAAGTCTGTATTTGTGATTCACACTAACACAAGTAGCATCATCAATATCAATTGCCCACATTCCTTGCACTTGCTACAATTAATAAAATAGGGATAAATTATGTAAAACTATTTATACTAAAAAATTTTTTTGAATATATATTTATACTTACATTTGGTTCAAACCTTGTAACAGATCCAGTAAGAAAAGCAGCTCGGCCATCATTCATCACAATAGCAAAACCCCCAATTAAGGGTGAGTATTCCATATCAATAACATATGCATTATCTGGAGCAGGTAATGCTATAAAAATTCCGTTTATATTTTCAAAGTTTACATCAGATGTTTAGAATGAAAATAAATGATTCATTATGTAAATGAAATAATATTGGGCTATATCTTCAAAATTGGAATTATTATTAGAACCAAAAAATTCTTTAGTTTAGACTCACCACTACCACAGTGTGTACCCCCATAATAAAACGAAATGCAACTAAGATCCAGGGCACATTCCCCATCACAAAGAGTTCCATCCCAACGATATCGAACAAGATGGCCCCGTTCTGTGGCCAACAATATATCAGTAGCACTGACACAAGCCGCGCGAGCTATTCTTCCGCGCCACGGAGATAATATCATTCGCCGAGTAAGTGTTAGAGCTGGTACTACCTCTCGAACAAATAGTTCAGCACTATCTCTACGCAAACTCGGCTAAAACATGATAAGTATATAAAGCCAAAGTTAACAATTTTATATCATATTGAATTTACATTTTCTGCAATCAAGTCAGGTTTAATATAAACTTAGAACTCACAAACTTTTATATAGAGCAATTCATAAATTAATGAAATGTATGCAGAATTTACAAATGTAAATCTAATATAATAACATAAATTTATATTCTTTACTATCTGTAACAAAAATCAACAAATCACAAAAATTATAATTTCAATAGAATTATTTTGCAGTTGTATTTACAAAAAAATATATATATCTTCAAAAATTTAGATAATAAATAACTTCAAGCAATATATTAAATACTCATATTTAAATATAAGCTCATATAACTCTTTTGCAAATTTTAACTACAAAAAACATATGCATAGCCCTGATGGAATTTTTTTTGGCCAATAATATTACAATATTATTGGGCATTATTTAAAAAAATAAAACTCTGCACACATTTAAATGAAAATCACCTGTGGGGGATCATTCTGCTGATAAACTCCACCTCTAGAGAGCTCTTCCGAAAAACTGACATCATAAAGAATTAAATGCCCTCCAACAGTCTAAAAAAAATAAGGAACAGTTTTAGAAAAAAGTCTGTATAACTATGACCAATATATAGGCATTAGAATACTTACCACTACTGCTAGCATAGTCGAATCGGGCTTCCATTCTACTATTGTATTACTGCCAAGTTTCTCCAATGATTCCTGATCTCTACGATGATGAACAATCAAAACACATGGCTAAAAATAATGATACATAACATTAATTGAGAAATATGCTAACTGTGAAATAACAAAAAGGTACCAAAAAATAAATATAAAAAAGATAGCGTTTATAACATAATATAAATTAAGTTGTAAGTAATTGAACAAGCATACCTTAGTGAACCATACAGAAATTGTGTCATCTGTCAAAACAACAAAAAGAATCTTATCGCGATTACATACTACTTGAATTATGTTCTCATCAGTAAGTTCAGGAGTCCTTAAAATTTTAGGCCATCCAATAGGAAAATACATTTTTGTTTTTTTTTATGTATTGTTAATAAAATTAAGATTCAGAATATCAGAATGTAACATCTTTAACGAAACACCCACAACCTCATTTTTACTCAAACGTTCGCCTAGCTGTCATTCTTTGGAATACTCTTCTTTTATCTATGTGACTTGTGTTGAGAATAACATGTGTTAAGTAATGCCAGATGTCAGATGGTTTTAAAAACTACGACATAGTATTAAATATTTATCTAATATAAGCTTGATATAACATATCATAGTTTATGTTTATATTTTATTCGGTATATTTTATGTTTCATTATGTCTATATTTTATTCGGTATATATAGCGTATTATCAGGATTAATCAGGATAGTATCGTAGTACAATAGCATACTATCATAGTAATATAAAGTACTATCGAATTCATTCAGTACTTTCATATGGTTTTATCTTTCTTAAAAACTTTCTTAAACAAGCTAATACATAATGAGTCAATATTTTATTTAAGAAGATGAAAATGAATAAAAACTGTCAATCTGTCATTTTGTTTTGCCATCTTTCCGCCATGAACGCCCACAAATGCTGCCACCTGAAACATTTAGTATATTTTGTCGATGTTGGCAGCACTAATAAACAATCAAGAATTGTCAAAATCAAGTCATGTTTTGGTTAATCGGTCTATTTTTGCTGTAGTTTATAAACAAAACTGAAAATTGCTTCTATTATCATTATTTTCTTATTTTATTATCATGGGAGACGATACAGCAGATTTTACACGCTACATAAAAAATGTTCTACACGATAATAGAAGTTCAAATGTATCGAAAAAACTTCCATTTGGTGATTCTTTTGAAAATCATGGTGCTTGTTTATACTAAAATAATTTCATTACAACAATTTTAATTATTAATGAATATATTTATCATGTATTCAAGGTAAATCAAAACCGAGATCACTAGATGAGGAACAACCCAACTTTCCAAAAAGGAGTAAAGATGAATCAATTATGGAATCTCCCTGGGAGATCAAAAGGGTTCGAAGTAGCCTGACTATAGCAAAGAATGAAGTATTATTTTTATTCAAACTTATAAAATTTGAATATAGTATAAATAAAATATAAACATAAAATTAAATTTTATAGATAGCTCAGTTGCAAGATTATATTGAAAAGCAGCATAGTTTGCGAAAAGAAATGGAAACTTTGTTTAGTATTGAGAAGGAGCACTGCAAAGACAAAAGCCAATGATACAAAAACTATTGAAGAGTTAGAGCACAGGTTGTCATGCCTTAAAAAGGGAACAAGATTTAAAAACTAACTCGATTAGAGTGAGGATATATTAGTTAGATTTATATGTATGCATACAATTAAAATCAATTAGATTTCATATATATTTCTTTTAGTCATCTTCCAGTTTAGATGAATTTAAACTTTCAATGGAATCCAAACTAGATCAAAAAGATAAAGTAATTATGCAATTGAAAGAAGAAATTAGCAATTTAAAACATTCCTTTGGTGAAAATGAAAGAAAAGAAATAGAAGTTAAAAAAAGTAATATGTCGGTGAGTAGCATTATTTTGAATAAGCAATTTCTTATTGTTTTTACATATTAACATTGTTTCATATTTAAGCAAATTAATGATATGGAATTTAAAAATCAAGAATACCAACGTGTTATTAAAGATTTGCGGGATGAGAATTCAAACCTAAAAAGACTCAAGACAAGTATTTAAGAATGGAAGCTGATTTTGAAGCTACCAAAATTAAAGTGCACAGTTTAGAAAACGAGCTTTTAAACTATAAGAATACGACACTCATATGAAGGTAAAATAATACTAATATATATAATAATAATATAATACATATAATATAGGAAATGATGCAATATGCTTTTTCAGTCACTACAGAAAAAATTAACCACAATTCCTGAAATGGAATCTGAGTTGAAACAATATCGCCAAGAAATTTGTATGTTAAGAGAAAATGTTCAGAATAAACTAATATTAGAGGAGCAAGTTCATGACTTGAATGTTAAATTATCTAGTGCAAATAACAAACTGAAAGATATTGCTAATATTCAGGTATTTATCTTATTTATATAATCATATATATTTTACAAATATTATTGTTTAATTTTTTAAAAAGGTTGACTTTGCTAGAGCTGACTCTTTGTTAAAAGAATGGCAGGCTGTATCGAGAAGTTTCAATAGAGGTAACGATTTAATTTCATAATTGTATTTGAATTTATTACAAGTCCCAATATTGTTTATTATAGAGAATTGTACACCAAAAGATTTAAAACAATATATAGAAGAGTTACAGAAAAATGAATTGGTATTAACAGCTGATAAATTAAAAGTGCAAAGTAATTTGAAAGCTGTTGAAATCGTAAGTATGCTTTGTTTATTATTTTACCATTATGGTTACCTAATTTTATGAACATTGCGGTTTATTTAGGAATTAACAAATGTTAAGCAAGATATGTCAAAAACTACAACACAAATCACAGATTTGAAAAATTCATTGAAGCAACATCAAAATATTCTTCATAGAGTTCAAAAAAAATTACAACAAGTTGCAAAAGAGCGTGACTGTTATCGTGGCTTAGTTGATTCATATGACCAGGATTTAACAAGTGAATATAAAATTTTATATATCTTATAAAATATGAATTTCTTATAATTTATCTTAAAATACTTATAATTTTATTTAATAGTTATGAATACAAACAGCATGAACAACGCAGAAGTTTTATTAAAAGAACGCATTGCTGCAATGGAGAAAATTGTAGAAGGTTATAAAGAGCAAGTGGAATCATTAGAAAGGAATTGCAATCAGCTGTTCCGCAAGGTTAATATAATCAGTGATAATTCTACTATATGCATGTACAAATAGCTACTGAGAATGATTTAACATTTGCAGCAGCACCCACCAGCATTTGTTGACCAATTAGCACGAATGCAAGAAGAAAATTCAAAGCTTATGAAAGAGAACGATAGATTAACAAAGAGATGTGATGAGTGTGAACAGTTACTAGAAAAATTCCATCAAAATAGAAGTGTTACAAGCACAACAAATGAAAAGGTTTAGTTTATTCCATTTATTTGATCATAAATTGTATTTGTAGAATAATTAAGTCTGAAAGTAATGGTGCCAAAACTATACATATTTTAGTAGAATCATTTTGAGTAGAACTAAAATAGATATACTTTCTTTTAGATCTTACATTTCACACTAAATCCTGCAACTAACAGCCAGAAGGAATATAAAGAAGATGTAAAGCAATTGCAGACAGAGGTATTAATATTTTATTTTTATTATTTGTTTTGAAGTTTTATATTTTCAATTCCATTATAGATTGAAAGATTAAAAAAGAAGATAAAGAATTGGAAGAAGGAGCTACAGATGTAACTCAAACACAAAATATGACTGGTACTACAGAGCTTTTAATGTTACGTGAAAAAACCAAGCAGATGAAATTAAAATTCAACGGTTAAAAGACCTTTGCAAAAGCTCAATGCATGAATTTCGAGATGCTTGCTATATGATGCTAGGATATAAATTGATAGAATAAACACATCTAGCTATAGGTACTTTTTTGTGTCTTACCTTAATATTATTGTCCAGATTAATATCTTTCTATTGTCCAGCAAATCCTTCTTATGATATTGATAGAATGTGAGATTAATTTTTCATGCCTGTAAATAAATATGATTAAATTAACTTTTTTAGGGTAACAAATATGTATGCAGAGAGTGAAATGAATACTTGAGCTTTGAGTATGAAAATGAACTTAAATTATTAGAACTCCATATTTACGTACCTTGGATGATCATGTGAATACTTATTTGAGGCAGTATGGTTCAATTCCAGCATTTCTTAGCGCTCTGACCTTAGATTTAGTAAAAAGGACCACAGTCATGGAAACAACTAATACTATTCAACTGTAATATGTGTAAAGCAATTAAATATTTAATAGTATAATTTTAACATTTATTTGAAGTTGCCTATACAAGTTCAAATAATGAATAAATATTAACAAATTTCAGCCATTAACAATTTTTCATAATATTTCTGAACTTAATTTTGCATATATATAGAAGGCATTGGATGTATTTATGTTAAATAGACTTAATAAAGTATACTAGATTAACACTAGATTAATTAAATTGAGGTTATAATTAATTTAATTTCCTACTTAATATTAATTTATAAACCTGATATTATTATTACTTCAGTTAAATTTTCAAATTAAACATAACATTAAAAATTCATTATCGTCATTATAAAGTAGCCATTGAAATCATACCACATAAGCACCACTTAATTCCGTACATTTACAATTGTGCATAATTCGTCTATTGGGAAAATAA